TCTTAAAGAAGTGTACAATTGAAAATAATTAGCATACAAATAGAGGCTACGAAAAACAAAAATATCAAAGAAACTAATCTGAATAAAATTTATGAAGCAAGAACAACAAAAATCGATCTTTCCAAAACAATACTTTGTAGAAAAAATTTAAATTTAATTACATGAAATTAAAAAAAGGCCAGGAAGCATAGTCGATAACATATGGATTGTAGTGGAAGACCGAAAAAGGGATTAGAATCAAAAGCTAGCAAGAAGATAAAGACGACGAAGAAGAAAGAATATTATTCTGCTAATGTGATTTGGAGGGGCAAAAAGATACAGAGAGGAGAAGAAGAAAGAAAAGCCAGGCAGAGAAGAAACAGGAAATACAATGCTAGCAACTGAGGAAAAACCAGGAATTCCGGCTTGCTACTGAGGATGGATGATATGGCTTCTTGCTTTTGGCACCAGTATTCACATGTCATCAATAGAGCATGCATGAAGCATATATATATTGGTGATTTACTTGATTTGCTAGCTATTAATTACCATAAAAAGATGTAGTGTGGTTCTATTTAGAGAGAAGGGAAAAGGTAACAAAAGAAGGTGCCCCACCCCTCTTGTTGTCATAGTTAATAAAACTTCTAGCAATGGTTTGAAGCAAAGAGAGATGCCTAATGAATTATTAATGGTGAAGCTTAGAATATTATCATTTTTCTTCAAGTTTGCCAACTGATTTTAGAGATGCCCAATAAAGTATTCACAGATACTATTCACAACGTTCTATTCGCCTCAAAATGTCTTCTGCTATATAGCTTTTTTGTAAACTCTAGTCGCCGAGTTCCTACTCATCCAAGCTTACAAACCTACCAAAAAAAGAAGTCCTGAATACACTGGAAATGAAACAAAACAAATTCCGAAAACAAATAAACTCCTAAATAATACTCCATTGTCTAAGGGTGGCTCCGGTTCCGGTTCCAAAAAATTTGGAACCAGAACCAACCGAAAATTTTCGGTTTCGGTTTCGGTTCGTCAATGGTTTCAAAACCGACGGTTCCAATCGGTTTTCCGACCGCTTTTCCGGCAAATCGCATAATTTAAAATTTTAAATTTTGAAGACCGATTTTCAAAATTTAAAAAATTTTATAAAAGTTATTTCTAAAAAAAATACACCTAAAAAATTAAAAAATGCTTCAATTAAATTTATTGTTTTAAAGACTTGAACTTATTTATTTTAAAAAAAAAAATACACCTAAAAAATTAAAAAATGCTTCAATTAAATTTTATTGTTTAATAAGACTTGGTACTTATTTAATTTTTAAAAAAAAAATGTCTTCAAACCGAATTTTATATTTTTTGTTAAAAAAAGTTTATGAACATAATTTTTAAAAAAAAAAAAGGGGCTTGAAACTTAATGTTTTTTTTAAAAAAAAAGAAAAAAAAAATTAGGTTTGCCGTACGTATCCTCTTGAGATTTAGATGCCGAATCAAAAGCCCACGTAGTTCTTACTTACCTTATAGGCCATTTTCACCCGCCTTTTGAACTCTTATCCGCTATTTGCACCACCGGTTTGATGTCCCATTTGAGGAGACTCATCATATCTAAATCATATAAATCTTCAATTTTCCTTTTAGATTTTCTTATGCGCTGCTTTAGTTCGGCCTATGCCTGCAATCACACGCATAGGATTTGTGCTTTTTTAATGAAATCGGGTGTCAATATCGAGATCAGTGTTTTTCCATCAAAGTATGTTTCCTTCTTTGACTAAAAGCTTGTTCAAAAGATCCGCAACAGTGAGACTGACGCTGCTAAAACTTGTTTTGCAACTAAAGAAAGTATTGGAAAAGTATTCGGGGCGTGAACGACTCCACCAATCATATTGGAAAAATTAGTAGTCTGCATATTTTCATCACAACTCAAAAGAAGTGGTTAGAATAATTATCTAAATTCCAGAAAAAGAACTGGATTCCCTTGGTCTGTTTTGTGTTTGTAGTAAAACCTGTTCAGCAACAACCCAAAACACCACTTTACCCTTTGTGGTCTGGAAATTGTTTGAATATTAGATTGAGAAGAATTATGAAGTAAGATGAACTAAGAAAAATTGAACAAAATTCAACTATATAATTGCAATAAAATATTTTTTAACTTCAAATGCAATACTACATTTTATATTAACATTATCTTCTATATCAAGGATTTAATACTTCATAAATAAAATAGTTAAATATTCACATAAAACATCAATTTTACATCTAGGATGCAAATACAATAGTACAGATAAAGGGGTGGGCTATATTTTTAAAAAATAAGAAATAACCATTTTTTTCCATTGAAAAAATACAATCTTTTAATAAATCATCATTTTGAAATTCTTGTAGTGCAGTAACAATATTAATACACATAGGTAAAAATAAATTAGATGTGGGATAGTAAACCCCACTAAATTTATAGGTAGCATCATTAAAAATTTTTAAAATATCTAAAATTTTTGCACAAATCTCCCAATTTTGTGGATATAAGTTAATATCCTCAATATTATTAGTAACAAAAAAACATAATAATTCTTTATAAGAAAAAGACTAGTTTAGTAATTTATATGTTGAATTCCAACGAGTTGGGACATCCCTTGGAAAACGTTTTGGTCTTTTATTATTTTCTTTACAAAATTTAGCCCAACTTTGCCCCAACTTTTTCATCACTTGGGGATGTCCCCACTAAAATATGAAATACTTTTTTAATTAGAGAAATAAAGATTCCAAGAAATTTTTTAACCATCTTGTATCATAAATTTATAACATGGCATGCACATCTTTATATGAAAAAATTTTCCCAATATTTGGTTCACAAATATTTTTAAGTTTGCAATAATTGAATTTAGTATTAGCAGAAGCATTATCAAATGAAATTGAAAAAATTTTTTTTGTCCAACTTAATATTCAATCTAAAATTGAAAACAATTAATTCTATATAATATTATTTGCAGTATGTTTTATCAAATCAAAAAGCACAAAAATGCAATAATTCTTTTTTGAATTTTTCCAATCATCATCAAAAATCCAAGGTGATCATGTAATGTGCCCATATAAGAATGCATTTGCCAATGATTCACTCCAAAATATCACAACAAATTGAAACACGAAATTTTCATTTGAGAAAATAAAATGCTCTTAACTCTTTTTTTGCTTTATTATATAAATAATAATCAGTTCGTTTACAATATTTCTTTGGCACTCTTTTAGCGAAGATTTACAAGATTTTTGACAATATTTAATTAATAAACCTCTTTTTCAACCAAAACTAAAGAAGATAATGTTCCATAGAAATCAAATTTTTGTTCTATTTTCTTATTTTTTTGTATTTTTCAGAATATTGAAACAAAGAAAAGGTTAGAAGATGAGTACGCCGAAAATTTGTGTTTGAGACCGATCCAACTCCTATTTTTGTTTGGATGTTTGTCCTTCAAATGCTTCCAAAATGAATTCATAAGCCGCCTGATTAAGTTTTAAATTTATAAGAATTTTCTAACAAATAATTGCAAATTAATTCAAAACATTTTCTCACTTTTGTTAATTTTTCGTGAATGAATGGCGAATATGTCAGAATTTTGGTCTTGCTCTTTCCAATAATTTGGGTGCACGTTTGCTCTTGCTCTTCTCTTCCCTCTTTCTTCTAATTGCTCATTAAATTAAATTCAGATTCTTTGAGTTAGAATTTCCAAATTTTCCATTTAAGATATCCCTCAAAATTAATTGGTTGGGAGTGAAATCAAGATGTTCGTTTGTAGGGATAGAATGAATATTGGTGTTTCTCCAATCTTTCCTTGCCCTTACCCGAATTGAGTTTCCTCCACTTTGCATTATATGATAATAAAGATATAATTTGGAAAATTAATTTGGAAAATTGAATAAAAAAAATTAGAGAAAATAATAAGAGAGATTGTAGAGTAGAGAAGAATAATATAGAGTAGAGTGTAGTATAGTGTAGAGAGAGTAGAGATTTTTTTTGTGAGGAATTTGTGAATGGAATGGAATGAGGTATTTATATTAAATTCAAAAAATTATTTTCCAAAAATACCCTTGAAACTAGCCGTTTATGGTTGTTGGGAGGGGTAATTAAGAGATTTCACAACAAAATAAAAAAAAATTAAATCTGACAGTTTCTAACGGCTAGAACCGCCAGTTCTAACCGACCGGAGAACCGGCGGTTCCATCTAGTTCCGACCGACAGTTTCTAACGGCTAGAACCGCCGGTTCTAACCAGCCGGAGAACCAACGGTTCCATCCAGCTCCAACCGGTTTGTGGAACCGTCGGTTTGCGGTTCCAATAATACTGGAACCGAAAATCTCCGGTTCCGATTCTGGTTCGTACCGATTTCGATTCCCACCGGTTTCGGTTCCCATAACCGTAATATGACCACCCCTACCTTTGTCCCAGAAACTTCGTCCATCATTCCTTTTCTTGAAATCCCAAACACATGCTCATTTCTAGAAAATCAAAAGTCTTTTAGAATTAATCTTTCAATTTTACCCCTTATAAATATTATTCAATTTGAAAGGTGTATAAAATATGAGCTGGCATAACATTTAATAAGAAGTTGTGGGGTACCAAATATAAAAATTTAAAAACAGGTCTAAGATTCAGACTAGAGAATCGCTGCATCAACCACTCTGCAATTTCCTCACAGACCAAACTGGTATAAATAAACCTTGTGTAATAAAATACAGCAAAAGATTCCAATCTCAAATATTGGCAGTATTCAAGGAGGATCAAACCAAGCCTGATTGGAATTCATGTCCTTTGTCTGGTCGAGATGAAAAATACATCCTTTTCTCCAACTAACAAGAAAGAAAGCAGGCTTTTTCATGTTGATTATTCCTGCCAGACAAAAATAACAGGGATATATTTTCCCAAATATCACAAAGCGCCCCCACCCCACCCCCTTTTCTTTTTTTTCTTCCCCCATCAACAGAAAAGTATATAAATAAAATAAAATAATTTCCAAAGAAATTTGCGGTTTAGGTATGTCAACTTACAAAACATTAAAGAGAATACAGTCATTATCTATGAATCCATTCATAGATACAACATTTTCCAGAGGATTCATATGTCAGCCATTCAAGAATAATTTCATATGGTTAACTGCACCAGTGATCTTTGTCAAAACACAAAGTATGTTATTATTAACTGCAAGGATACAGTTGCAGGTAGTTAGTCATCCTAAGTTTAAGAGATGAAGGAGAACAAAATGCAAAAATTCTGTTGAATTGTATAGAAATCAGTTCTCCATAAAAAACATTCCTTCCTCATTGACACAACAATTACTTTCCCATTATCAAATATCCTTTGCAGCTCACACCAAATTCATGACTCTGTCCCCTTAAAATTCCTCCACAATTCAAATAACATAAATCCCCAACATAAGAATTGATAATGATTCAACCAGAAAATTCAACAAAACTTGTGCCTGTTGAAGATTCCATGAATGGGACATAAAAATGTTGCGGATTGCATGGTGCCACCATGTAAAAGAACACCCATATTTTTTATATTGCGTAATGAGACATCATTTTTAAAATCTTTTCTTCATAACTGCATTGCAAGATGTATCTCTTCTGGAAGGAAACTGCAAAAGGACAGAATTTGGAAGAAGGCATTAACATTTTGGTACCTTAAATCATCCATATTATGGGCAATAAATCAAGTTAAACAACTAATGAAGCCTGAACTTATTAATTAAGTCGTTTCAATTTGTAAGAGAATAAATTTTTAGCTGCCCGCCCAACTAAAACAAAAGGTATAACACACAAGCTTAGACTCACAAAAAGAAAAAAAATAAATGAATAATAAAGAAACAGGAGAACTTGTTTGAAATAAAATATATACATGTAAATTTTCTTCTATATAATATGCATTCATCAACCAATCATAGGTCCAACTTCAAAGGAAAAAAAATGACTGCAAGATGAGCAACATTTTGAACTACCTGTTGTTTAGTCCCCCTTAAGTCTTGTCTCCAGACAAGTCACTTGAACAAGACACTTGCATATAAAAAGGACAAGCCTGCAGCGAAGCTTTAGAGGATGTTACTGATTCCTTGGAACAACTTAGCATTTGCCCAATTGCTGAAGCCTTAGTTTCATTGTATACACCTTCATAAACAAAACAAGACCTACTACCCTGAACTGATCTCTGATTGAACTTTCTCCTCGTATACTTTTTCAAATATCTATCAGGCTTCTCATTGTATCTTTCATCTGAAGGTGTTCTCCTAGAATACTTAATCAAATATCGGTCTTGCATTCGCATTCCATCATATGTTTCTCTTGCAGTTGTTCTCCTAGCATACTTTATTAGACATCGGCCAGGCTTTCCATTATATCTTTTATCTGCAGGTGTTCTCCTACTATACTTTAGTGCATATGGACCAGGCTTTCGATTGTAGCTTTCCTCTGCAGGTTCCATGAGCCCATGCACATCTCCCTCCCTACAAGATTGAGACTGAGAGTTCATTGGTTTATTGAAACTTCTTCTTTCTCTGTAATTCAATAGCAATTCCACATCAGATTCTTTATCATTTGTTCTGATCCAAATATCATCAAGTCCATCCGATCCCAAAGAATCCATATTAACAGAAGAATCATATCCCGAAGTTGTAACACAAACTGAAGGGTCAGAAACACTTTTTTCATTGGAAACTTCAAGCTTCCTACAAACACCAGCTCTGACCCATGGATTTGGAACATCCAAGCAGCGCGAACTCACAAAGCAGAAATTCTTCAAAATCCTTGGCGAACTATTCATTACTCCATGAAACTGCAATGACAATTCCATATCATCATGAATACCACCACCAGCGCAGCCACTACCATATCTCTCAGCCACCAAATCCAAGGCATTTTGTGCCAACTCAGCTGCCTGTCTTGCAGCTAAGGCCTTCTTCACAGCCAACTCTCTAGCCCTAGCAGCTGCAACCGTCCTCTGCACAGAACAATTCGCATCCCGATCCACACCCTCAAGCAACTTATTCCTCTTGATAGGCCTAAAATAACATGCTCTTTTATCGGCAATGTATTTAGGGACCCAGCAATCCACACAAACGGAAAACTGAGAAGCACGAGAAGAAGAAGAAGAAGAAGAAAAGGACCACGGAGAAACAGTGGCATAATCGAAAAGGCAAGATTTATGAATAATTCGTTTGCATTGGAGACAATTAAAGCAATTATCAGAAGAACCTTTGAAACAGTAAGAACAAAGTTGAGAGGATTCGACGCGGATAAAGCAAATTTTACAAAGAAGGACAATACGCCATTCACTGTATAATGTGTGGAGTCTGTTATTACCTGTGCAAGAGTCGATTCGAAACCCACAAGAGTGACATTCTGATAAGTTGGGCAAATCTCTAGTCTTCTTTCTCTTGTTGTTTTTAACCTGCGATTCCATTACCGGGCAATAGCTTCCTTTCTTGCTTTTTTTTCTTCTCCGTGGACGAGATTAGGGTTTTCAGAATTAGAACACCGGATTCACAAAAGCGTTAGCATTTTGAAGTTTGACAGCCACGCGCTACACAGTCCCTGTCATGCGCGTGGAAATGAAACAATGGGTTATGAGGTCAAATCCCCTGTCATTAATATGGCTATAGATAAAATCGGCAGCGGCAGTGTTACATAGCGATTCGTAAAGTTGGATCGGATGTTTTAATTGATAAACGTGGGTTCAAGGGTAAACGTTGGGCGAATTCGGCCTCAATAAAATATTTAATCAAAATAAATAAATTAATTTTTTTTACTTAATCAAATTTAATCGAATTAATTTTTTAATTAAAATTAATAAAATCATTTTAACCGAATTAATTTTAGTCACAAACTTAATTGATGTTAAAGAAAATGAAATTTTAATTAACAGATTAAATTTAACGGAAATTTATAATGAACCAACTTTAATTGAAATAAAAATTAACCGAAGTTATTAATCACTGCTTAATCAAAATAACGTAATTCTAAGAGTCGATTAATTTGGTTAAATTAACTTTTAATTGATCAGCAAAATGTTAATTTTGTAACTGAATTTTTAATCGAATATTTATTCACCGAACCGAATTGATCGAATCAATTGCTCACCCCTAGTCATAGTGGCCAAAAAGTAAGAAAAATATATACATAACTAAAATGAGCCGGAAAATTTTTTTTCGAAGTTTTTCATTTAAATATCTAAATATTAATTTTAACTGATCACATTTTAGGATATTATTAGATTTAAAAATTAATAAAATTATGCTTTGAGAAATATTTAAATAAAAATCTAATAATAAATACCTTATCTATTAAACCGAACCTAAAGAGTCAATTAAACCATTGTAAAATCAAATAAAATCAAGATTTGGACCAAACCAAATCCGATTCAAACCAAATCATCCCTAAAAACCTAAACAAAATTTTTCTAAAAGCCTAACTCCCTATTGGCGCCGACCTCAGCCCCTCCCCATTCCCTTTTTCATTTTCTGATCACTTGAGATTAGTGTCATTCTGCCAGCGCCTCCTACTGCCGCCGCCACTCTCTCTCTCCCTCTCCTCTGTTATCTCAGGCTAGCTTAGCTAGCGTAGTTATCGCAGGAAACCTGCGATTTTGTTCGATCGAAAAATCGCGTTGCAGCTCTCTCTTTGATTTCTATCAACTCCAATGCAAGTGATCAACTCCAGCCTCTCTCTTGTCAATGACGAAGCTTCGGTCTTCCTCTGGCACATCCCCTTCTCATTTCCATGTCTAATTGCGGCACAGTAACGAGAAAGAGTGAGTTGAGCGTGAGTAGTGTTTTTATGATCACTCTAACTAGAAAATTTTGATTTCCGACGTATTCTACAGTTGGGTAAGTCATATTTCAACCATCTTAGATTTGTTTCATGAGTTCTATGTCTTAGCTGAAGAATTTGAGGTATAAATTGAGCTAGAATAGAATTTGAAACTATTAATATACAATAATAGACAATAATAATATGTATTAAAAAATAATAATAAAAGGTAGTAGATTCCAAATAAACTCTAACTAACAGATAAACTAGGATTCCATTATCCTAATCTAACCATAATTATTACTCCATTAATATAAATATTCTCAATTAAGCTTACAAAAGGCTAATTTCACAATTTACTACACTCCAAATTTTAAGAGCTTACCAATGGTGCAGTAGCATGGAACACACCTTTTAACCATAAAAAAAAAAAAAAATCCTTTCCTTTTTCCTCTTCTATACGATGGCTAACAATCCCACTCAGTATCGCAATGCAGAAGGCCAGGGCAACACCCATGGCGGAGTAATAGAGCAACCTACATTAGTCCCTCCTCGAGCTACCAATCCTTAGGTAGCGGCCGCCTTGGCCCAAGCGTATTCACAATTCACCACCGTCCTCAAATGCCTCTTGGAGACCTCCCACCCTAACGGTGAACGGATACCGCCAACCAAACCAATAAATTCTCACCACCAAGAACACAATATACCTCCACCATCGCCTAAGTCACGAAACCATCCACTGTCTAAACAATACCACGAAGCGGATTCAAAAGCGAACCCTAGTGTAACAGCACCTTATAGGTGAGACTCGTGCCACACCCAGCCAATCTTGGATAGTGCTAATCTTCGTAATGTTATCAAAGAGTTGGTTAGGGAATGTCGAGAGACAGGAGAAGCAAGGGATTATGGTCTCCAACAAGATTCTTTACTGTCAACCAATATTTTGGGTGCAGCTTTTCCCCCAAAATTCGAGATCTCTACCTTCCAACCGTATGATGGATTTATCAATCCCCGGAGCCATCAGCGATTTCCAAACTATGATGTACCTACAAACCAACTCAGAAGACCTCATGTGTAAGGTCTTCCCAATAACCTTGAAAGGAGCAGCTCAAGAATGGTACCAGACACTTAAAACAGACAGGAGAAGCAAGGGATTATGGTCTCCAACAAGATTCTTTACTGTCAACCAATATTTTGGGTGCAGCTTTTCCCCCAAAATTCGAGATCTCTACCTTCCAACCGTATGATGGATTTATCAATCCCCGGAGCCATCAGCGATTTCCAAACTATGATGTACCTACAAACCAACTCAGAAGACCTCATGTGTAAGGTCTTCCCAATAACCTTGAAAGGAGCAGCTCAAGAATGGTACCAGACACTTAAAACAGGATCAATCCAATCATTCTCGTAGTTGGCCACAGCATTCCGGGCTCAGTTCATAACATGTGTGCCATCTAAAAAGATATCGTCTGACTTGGTAGACCTAAAAAGGGAGGAGGGAGAGACCCTGAGGCAATATGTCTCCAAGTTTCAACGAATGGCAATGCAAGTGGAAAACTTGAATGATGAAGTGGTTGTGGCTTTCGCTGAACTCATGGCATGACCCCGCGAATACGCTAAAATGGATGCAGGTTATGAGGCTCAGCAACATAGATTGCCTAAAGAGGAATGACCTAGGCATCAAAGACAACCCTCGCCGATAAGAAGGAGATTGCCCCTACGACTTCCATGAACCAATTATGCTGTTAGAACACCCTATTCCAGAGATGATAAATCTCAGTTAGTCCGAGAGTTCACTCCTTTGAACAGGTCTCGCTTGGAGATATTGTCCTAGGCAAGTGGATGGGGCAAACAGATTCAGCTCTATTATCCCAAGAAGATGAACGAAGATACCTTGGGTTACCGAGACAAGAGCAACTATTGCGAGTTCCACAAGGATGTTGGCCATGAAACTGAGGCATGTTGGCAATTAAAGAAGGAGATTGAGCACCTCGTGCAAATGGGCAAACTAAAAGAATTCGTGGGGAGACCTCAGAAAGAAATTGAAGAGAGGGGTAAGCAGGTGAAGGATTGTCAAACCCTAGGTACAATCCACACCATCTTTGGAGGCTCATCAGGAGGGGATAGCAATTCAGCGCGGAAAAGGAGAGCCAGGAAAATTTATTCCATCTTACCCCAACAAAGGCCAAACATAAGACCACCTCTCTCATTCTCCGAGATTGACAGTGAATATGTGCATACCCCACACAATGATGCCTTGGTAATTGAGGGAATCATGGAGAATTTAGAGTTTTGGTGGACGAAGGATGTAACGCCCCAAAATTTTCGAATCTTAAAATGATATTATTTTATCGGGTCATGAATGGAGAGAGGGGGATAATATTTTATTTAGATCCGAGGAAGATATTGAGTATAATTAACTATGAATGGATAGTGATTTACCGGTCTGTGAATAGTACTACCGATAGTACTACCGGTCCAGGGAGTCAGTACCAGAAAAATTACTATATATGTTTTAATATTGTTCTTTAATATTTTTGGAGTATGTATACATGATTTTTATGGTAGTAAGTAAGTAATGAATATTTTTTGGAGAATTTAGATTAATTTAGTGAATAGTGAATTATTGCATGCTTTATTAATTAAGGAAAATTTGAGGAATTTATTTTATGGGAGTAATTTTTGAGAAATTGTGATTTTGTAGAGATAAATAATATTTTGAAGGGATTTAATTGAAGAATACTTTTAGACATTAGATTAGAGTACCATTGACTTAATCTTAGCCTTCCATTTACAACTTCTTAAGGATGTAGTTGTAAAAGACTAAAATTCCCTTATTGACTTATAAAAGTCAATTCTTATCGTTGAGCAACCTTTCTTTTTCTTTTTCTTCTTCTTCTTTTTCTCCTCTTAGGCGTCACCTTCTTCCTCTCCTTCTCTTTGTTTTTCTTCAATTCCTACTTACTAAACACTCCATTTTCACTCCATTAAACCTTAAATAAGTAATTAATCTTGGATTGGTGCACTAATTTCAAGAAATTTGGAATTTTCCTACTTGGCGTCAAAGAGCAGGAGAATCTTCTACCAAAGCAGAAGGGCAAGCTAAGGCTTAAAGAGTTTTAGTTAAGCTTGTTTAGAGCTTTGTTTTTCAGGTTAGTGTTTCATAAACACAATTCCTTTGCTTAAAAATTTTTGAATTTTGTGAAGTGTTTATACTATTGTGGAAAAATTTGAGAATTTTTATATGAAAATGATTTGATTATTGAACTTTCGGTGGTATAAATGTGTTCTTGGGGAGATTTCTAAGCATTGCCTAATATGTTGAATTGATGAGGGAAAAACATTTTCTTCTCATCTTCCAAGAGTCGGCAGAATCTATTTGATGACTAAGGGCTGTAAGTTTTCTTTTATTCTTTATTGCGTTTATGCTCTTAGGATGATTGTTTGATGAGTATTTAGTATGTGATGAGTATTTAGTATGTGGTAGAAATCTCTACCTTGTATCTTTGTCTTTCATGTTCTTTTCATGGTTAAAGTAAGCTGAATTTGGGAAAAAGTATTATTGGGTAAGATTAAGGACTAGTTTTTGACCATTTCTATTTTCCATTTGTGTCTGAGTCCTTCATGAAAGTTGTAGATCTACGTCTTAGCTTTCCAAATCATCCTCTTGTGTCCAATTTTGATATACATAGCTCAACTTATGGCTGAAACACCCAAACGGACTCTATTGTATCGGGCCACATGCATCACTGAATTGAGTGCCCATTTTGACCACTATAATGACAAGATTAGGTTCTGAGTTCTCATAAAAGTTGTTTCTCTATGTCTTGAGACTTCTCTCGTTCTAGATTGGTTTAATTTGAGTGTTTGGTTAAGTAGGAATGCAATAAACATTGGACCTGGTTCTGCTGAATCAGGTCTGATCTGTTGGTCTGTGTTCCTAGCTTTTGTTTGCTATCTTACCGATTGATCTGGGCTGTGGCTGTGGGTCCCTCCATAACAATTTGGTAATCATTTGTTCTTATCTTTCTAATGGAATCTTTGAATTTCATTTTCAATTTTTGGAAGACCTATAACTCAAAGTATATGTTCTTAAAAAAAAACACAAAAGGAAAAAAAAAAAATCTCCTCTCTTT